ATGATCTACGAGAGCAGCAGAGGTTGATGACGAATTTACTCACCAACTTAAGGAAAATGGGGAAGGGCAAGTTCACAACGTCAACGCTGAACACGCGCCTCACGAATCTCAACATCATGTAGACGAAGTGCCAAGACATCCACACGGAAATCCGAAGACTATCTACAGCAGAACAGAAGAAGAGTTTTCCGTACTTCACCAAAGGCGAAATCAGCGAAGTCGAAACAACGTATTACGAGGTTAGCGATTATATTGTAGATGTACTTAATCCGCGACCTTCAGCAATGAATGCAAATTCGACAGCAATTGGTCACAGCCTGCTGCATGACGGAACTCAAAATAACTTCATGTCGCTCCCTAAAATCCCTATGCCAACTTTCTCAGGAAATTACAATGACTGGATCTCCTTCAGAGACTTGTTCATATCTCTTGTCATTAACGACGAGAGACTTTACGATGTGCACAGAATGTATTATTGAAAATCCAGCGTCACTGGCGAAGCGAGTTCCCTCCTGAAGTCGGCACAAGTCACTGATGCTGATTTCAAGTTAGCTTGGAATCAATTGAAAGATCGATATGAGAATTCACGTCACATTATTAATGCGTACCTTGCAACCGCACGCGCCGGGTCGACCAACCGCCATTGACATAGAGGGCGGTGCCGCACGGAACGGCGACAAACCAGAAGGATGAGCCCAGCGGCAAGTTCCAGCCCATCCAGCGGGGAAGACGACTCCGTAGACGAGGGGGATATCCCCGAATAGTTTTAAGTTGCGTGAGCGCTCCGAAGACGGAGTCGGGGCGATTTTAATTACTTTCACTTTATGATTCATTATTTGGGTTTAATAAAGTCATCGATTTTACCCGTCCGGCGCAGTTAATATTAAGATATGCGACAGCGGTCGCCGAGCAGCGGCTCCAGTAGATAATAAGGAATTTTCTCCACGATCCACAGATTTTTAGTTCTTTTTGGCACGAAGGTGCCAGGCCCGATCACGAGAAAAGGGAGTTATGTTTTGTTTTCAACAGGTGCGTGGATCGATAATGCACCAATACAGCAGATGGTCGAGTCACACACAATCTTCAGAGCGCGGGCACTTAGTGCACGTACCGCGCGTGCTACGCGAGTAAGAGTCCAACTGCCGACTCCCGAAATCCCCAAAAGGGGAATCCGCGAAAAACCAGCACGATGCGATTACGCAGACACAGGGTTTGCCGGACAACCTGTGAAATCGCAAACGGGACGCTGTAGCGTCAAACGGCGGAAGCTGCATCCAGAGGGAGGCATAACCGACCTCTGGAACCAATCGCGAGCACGATCCAAACGCGCAAACCCCGAGTTTGCAGGACAAATAGCGAAAACGCGAACGCGGCGCCGTAGCGTCAAACGGCGGAAGCTGCATCCAGAGAGAGGCATAACCGACCTCTGGAACCAATCGCGAACGCGATCCGAACGCGCAAACATCCGGTTTGCCGGACAATTGGCGAAATCGCAAACCGAGCGTCGGAGCGGAAAAAGACCGAAGCTGCGTACTCAAGGGGGTTAGCCAGACCCCAGGAATCGATCGCGAGCGCGATTCGAGGGCGCAAACATAGGGTTTGCCGGACAACTTACAAAATCGCAAACCGAGCGTCGGAACGGAAATGGGTCGAAACTGCGTACTCAGGGAAGGTAGATAGGGCCCAGGAATCGATTACGAACGAAATCCGATCATCCAGACACACGGTTCGCCGGACAATTTGCGAACTTCCGAACCAAGGGTCGTAGCGAAAAAGGTTTAAACTGCGTCCTCGGGGATACCTAGTACACCCGAGGAACAAATCGCGGTCGAGATCCGACCATCCGAACGGCGGGTTGCCCGGACAGTCCGGGTAACCGATAATCCTAGACGTCGGCTACAGAAAGTCGGGCCGGAATACGGCTAGTAGAGACCGGGGGAATAGGCAGCAGGGTCGCCGCCATCGGCGGACATCTAGAAAGCGACCTGGACGTCTTCTCCAGGAAGTCGACCCGGAATCGGCATTAGGGACGTAGGAGAGACCGTGCGCACGGATCGGCGCCCTCAAAAGTCCATTATTCGAAAAGTTGAAAAACCGCTACCCGGGAGCTGATTAAGCGCGTCGTAAATAGTGTACTGGCGGCGGAAATTTCCATCGAGAACATCTGGCGCACACCTGGCGAGCCGAAACTCGTAAACAGCTATTGTAACAGCGTAGAATAAAAAATTACCGCGAGGAGAAAGCGGCCGAGACCCCATGGTGGGGGTAAAACTTCGGAGGTAGGGAGCCCGAGAGAGGAATATTCCTCGAGGCAGTCTCTCGTGGGCGCTCGAACGGTAGCTATCTTCTCGCGCGTATGTCCCGGCGTTTCGTAGTTAATATCGCAAACGCGTACTGGAATACGATTTGTAAGCCTACCGCAGTGTCCGAAACAAACGGGAACGCCCGCTAACAGCGTTACGTGACGCCGATACAAAAGGCGTACGGGTTTTCGCGTACCTGAATCGTGAAATCGCACTTTGCGAGACGTGCAACCGCCATCTTGTGCGGCAATCAGTAATTGTGAACCACCATCATTGTGAAACGATAGTTAACAATAAAAGCAATAATTATTTGCAAAAATATATACGAAAATTTCAGTTACTTACCTTTAACTTACCTGAACAAGCGGCTGTCCGGCCATCTTGGTGTTAGCGTTGACCGAGCTTCAAGGTCATCATAGATTCTATTTCGGAGGAGGCCATAGATGAGAAAACCGTGGCGGAAACCTGCAAAGAAACAGCATTAGTTATAGTTACGCGGACAGTTCTCGTACTTACCTGGTTGTCCGGCCAGCTCCCAGACGCGGTGATCCTGGACATTGGTGAGCAGCGGTGATCCATGACATCGGCGATGGTGATGAGGAATCCGTAGACGAAACCTGAAAATAAAAGGGAATTAGTAGCGTTTTACTTACATTAATGTTGGGACTTACCCGATCAAGCGGTTGTCCGGCCATCTTAGTTCCACGGATGAGGCAGATGAATGATAGATAGCGGAGGCGATAGGCAGAGCATCCCAGAGGAGGCAGCTGTGGCGGGAATATAAAAAGTGAAAGGGTTAAGGAGATACACGTATATACATACCTGATCAAACGGCTGTCCGGATGACAAGCATCCCTAGCTGGCCGATCAAGGTCATACCTAGCGGTATCCAGAGCACAGGCGATGCTTACTAGGCAGCTGTGGCGGGATTAAAAAATAAAATTGTTTAAACAAATTGTTCAACTTTTGGTCCGTTTGCATTACGAATACCTACCTTCTCGGTAGTTTAAGGTTAAACCAAGTGGCGACCGATGACTTAGAGGACAAAATCGCGTACTCCGTAACCCGATTATGTATCGTTCGGTTACAACCTAACAAAACTCTTCGATGTTAACACGGTAACGACAGAAAATGTGACGGAACTCAAACGATTGCGCGATTAAACCCATGAAGCCGTCAGCTCGTTAGGTAACCTTGGTCGACCAATAGACCAGTGGAATGATTTACTCACATTCATGACAGTTCGTAAACTCGATCCAGTCTCTCGAAGAGAATGGGAGATGAGAATCGGTGAGACGACTACGTACCCAACGTACAATGAGATTCACACTTGAGTACCGAGTCCGAGCCTTAGAGTCAATTGCTTCATCGTCCTCAAAAAAGACAAGTAAATCAAAAGATGTCGATAAGTCAATCAAATCACATGTTTCCCCGGTGTCAAAGTCATGCGAATGCGAGAAAAGTCATTCACTGCGTTTATGCGAGGTATTCAAAGCGAAATCCGTCGAAGAACGATCTCTTCAAATACGTTTAAAAACAAAAGTTATGCTACAACTGTTTATATACAGGTCATTCGACAAATCAGTGCCGAAGCAAGTACTCATGTTCCCACTGCAAAAGGCGACACCATACATTATTACATAACCCTAATGCTCAGGGAAAAGGTGAGAAACTGGCATTCTCCCCAGGCGGTGGTACAATTGGGACGAGTGCTCCGGTGGCTTCCTCACCTTTAGCAGCGCCAAACCCTAGCACATCTACTCCTAGCACAAGCCAACATGTTGTTGCAGCAGTCGAGACACTTCACGCTGTCAAACCAAAGGTAGCTCCTATGACAGTGATGCTTGCGACTGCTTGAGTACTGGTTTCGTCGTATAAAAGTCGTCAAGCAAAGGAAGGAGCGCTGCTGGATCAGGGGTAACAATTGTCGTTCGTCACTGAAACGATAGCACAAGCATTGAGAGCCTCTCGTACCAAAGTACGCGCTCCGATTTCCGGAATTGGCGGTACTGATGCCGGCACTGGCCGAGCAATCGTAACACTAAAATTAAATTCGTGCCAACATTAACATTAAATTGGTACCAACAAACCGGTCCAATGCTCTGCGATCGTGTTTCAAAAGTTAACCTCCTACGTGCCTCCGCGATCACTCTGTCAAGAGTCGTGGAGACACTTAGAAGGCCTTGAAATGGCAGATCCTGACCTCAGCAGCGATTAGCCGATCCAGTTGATTTTAGGAGCCGACGTGTACGCAAATATCCTACGCGAAGGATTAACAAGGGGGCCTACCGGGTCACCCATAGCTCAAAAAACTACATTTGGTTGGATTCTCTCGGGACCAACAACTAGTGGTGATTCCAGCCAAGTCACGACGGTAACGGCACATCTTGCCTGTGACCATACAACTCTCCTCAACGAGCTTCGTCGTTTCTGGGAACTCGAGGAAGTTTCAACGAGCCATCCGCTCAATGAGGAGGAAGTCGCGTGTGAAGCTCATTTCGCCGCGACCCACAACCGAGTACCAGGAGGACGATATTGCGTAAAACTTCCGTTTAAGAATCCGACTCCGACCAACATCGGTCCTCAAGCCAAACCGCGAAAGATTGGCTCGCGAAATTACAACGCAAATTCATCCGCAATCCTGACATACTTAAACTGTACTATGACTTCATGACAGAGTACATTTCCCTCAAACACATGACGCCGACTACATTCGACGCTCCTGACTCAAATCCTGCCTTGTACCTACCCCACCATCCGGTATTCAAGGACAGCAGCACGACGCGACTCAGAGTTGTCTTCAACGCGTCAAGTAAAACCTCGAATAGGACCTCACTCAACGATTATCTCATGGTGGAACCCAAGCTCCAATCAGACTTGCCCCACTACGATTCTACGTTGGCGACAACACCAATACTCCTTGACCGCCGACATAAAAAAAATGTATCGGCAAATCCTGGTCGACCCGGAAGACACTCGATACCAACAAATCCTTTGGCGACCAACTCCAGAGTCCCCAATAATTCCATACAAGCTCGTCACAGTCACCTACGGTACCGCGTCAGCGCCCTATCTCGCAATGCGGGTCCCAATCCAACTCGCCGACAATGAAGAGAAGGATTTTCCTAATGCCGCGACAATCGTTCGTGAAAACTTCTACGTTGACGACGTGTTATTCGGAGCTAACGATGAAACAACTGCAAACGCGTTGCGCCTAGAGTTAGAGAAATTATTGGATCGCGGAGGTCTAACATTGCGAAAATGGATGTCAAGTCACGCTTCTCTTCTCGCGGACATCCCTGAAACCGACCAAGAATAAACGAAAACAAGAACATTCGACTCTACGGAGTCAATAAAAATTCTCGGAATCAGATGGGTACCAGATTCGGATTCATTTTGCTTCAATGTCACCGCACCACAGCGTGCGAACAACACGAAAAGATCGGTACTGTCCATTACCGGGCTCCGACGGCGGCTCCAGGCAGGCTCGCGCCCAGACCCTGCTGCGCACACCGCCGCGACCCTCCTACTCGTCAGGGCTTCGTGGCGGCGCCGACAACGGAAGAGAAGCGCGAACTCCCCCCCGCGCGCGGCGGCCGCCCCACTTGCCGCTGACGGCAGAGTATAGGCTCGACGCTTCAGCGCCATCCATTTTCAGGGCTAGTTGCTTCGGCAGGTGAGTTGTTACACACTCCTTAGCGGGTTCCGACTTCCATGGCCACCGTCCAGGATACTACTGCGCTATTTAATCCGCTAGGGTGACTATCTCCAGTGATAGTCACAGCTAAAATCCTCATGCAAGAACTGTGGATTGCATCTCTCGACTGGGATGATGAACTACAATCAGATGTCTCAGAGAAATGGAATGACTACTGCAGACGACTCCCAGAATTGGAAGCCATCTCGATTTCTCGATGGAACCATCTGACATCAAGAGAAACTGAATGCGAACTACACGGTTTCGCCGATGCTTCAACGCGAGCATACGCAGCCGTAGTGTACCTTCGCACAGTCACCTCAGAAGGCGAGTTCAAGGTAAGCCTACTCACCGGAAAATCGAAGGTCGCTCCGATTAAAGCGGTTAGCGTACCTAGATTAGAGCTCTACGCAGTTGTCCTGCGCGAAACTCATCGAGTTTGTTAAGAAAGCAATGCATCTAAAACAGTGCACAACATACGCGTGGACCGACTCGAGCGTCGTCCTCGCATGGCTCAAGCAACATTTATCCGAATGGCCGACATTCGTAGCCAACAGGGTTGCTACAGTACATCGGCTTCAAGACGTATCGTGGAGACATGTACCATCGGCGCAGAACCCGGCAGACTGCGCATCACGTGGTTTAACCGCCACGGAGCTGTGTACCCATCCATTGTGGTGGCAAGGCCCATCGTGGCTAAAGTCCTCAGAAGCAAAATGGCCACGCACTCCTCCAACGCCGCCTAAATCCAAGCTCGTTGAAGCGTCGCAGGTATCAGTCAAAACGCACGTTGCTGTCGACACAATCCTTCATTGGGAACTCTACACGGAGATTTCAACATGGAACAGACTAGTACGCGTAACTGCATACTGCATGCGATTCGTCGGACGTTGTCAACGACGTAACAACGCCACCGAACTACGTCTCTCAGGCGACGAAATCCGCAACGCGCAAGTATTCTGGATTAACAATATTCAGCATCAACACTTCAACAACGAGATCCAAGCGATCCGCAAAGGAAAACTTCTTCCTCGCAATTCACCCTTGCGGAATCTCACGCCATTCGTGGATGGAAAGGGTACCCTACGCGTGGGTGGACGCCTTGAACAAGCCAACTTGCCGTTCGAGGAAAAACATCCTGCCATTTTACCGAAGCATCGAGTAAGCACTCTTATCGTGGAAGACGCGCACTTGCGGTGCCTTCACGGTGGTCATCGACCGCTTGTAAGAAACATTATCAACAAATGTGTCCCATGTGTGCGAGAACGCGCCAAGGTACCAAGTCAACTCATGGGTAACTTACCAGCTGCGCGAAGCACGCAGTATCGTGCATTCCTGCACACTGGACTCGACTATGCCGGACCATTTCTTGTAAAGACCAGTAAAGGCCGTGGACATAAGTCACACAAAGCGTACCTCGCTCTCTTCGTGTGTACATCCACCCGTGCCATCCATCTCGAACTCGTATCGCATTACTCATCAGACGCGTTCCTCGCAGCATACCGTCGCTTTATAGCTCGTCGCGGGTTACCATCTGATGTATACAGCGACAACGGGACCACCTTCCAAGGCGCCGAAAAGGAACTGCAAGCTGCATTTAAAAACGCAGTGAACGATCCAAACCTCGGAAACCTCATCGCAACCGACAGTACCAATTGGCACTTCATTCCTCCCGGTGCTCCGCACATTATGGGAAGCTGGCGTGAAATGCGCAAAACATCATCTGAAACGAGTTTTTGGTGCCCACACGCTCACGTACGAGAAATTCAACACCCTCATTACTCAGGTGGAGGCGTGATTGAACTCGCGGCCAATTGGGCCGAACCTAACGGACCCATGCGAGTTCGCAGCACACACACCAGGACATTTCCTCGTAGGAGCTCCATTAATCAGCGTACCAGAACCGTCGTCCCTTCACCTAAACGAAAATCGTCTCTTGAGGTGGAGATTGGTACAGCAAATGCTCGAAAGCTTCTGGAAACGTTGGTCCACAGAGTACTTCCACTCGCTACAGGTCCGAACAAAATGGAAAAAACACAACAGAACATTGCCGTCGGAAACATAGTCCTCATCAGGAATAATCTAGCGCCTCCAAATAAGTGGATGCTCGGGAGAATCGTCGAAACTCATCCAGGGCAAGACTCACGTGTACGCGTCGTCACTGTCCGCACCGCAAAAACGCAACTGAAGAGACCGATTACACAAATCTGCCTGCTCCCCGTCGATGCGGCTGATTCTGACGTGACGCCTACTTCTCCTCCCGACACTCCCATATCTTCGGACTCGCCTGATTTCCAAGACTGTGAACCCGTCGAGACGTCATCGACCACCACTGGTGACTCAGACACACAGGTATCATAAATCCCTATGAGGGGCGAAGTAAGGCTCACACAAGTAGCACTAATTCTAATTAGTACGTACACTTCAAATGTAACTGTACTCGATGTAAAGTAAAAAGTGCCAAAGTGCTACGAACTCTCAACTAGACAAAACCATGAACAACTTCGTCGAACCGAGTCACCCCGCCAGTGTTCCACGGCGGGCGGCTCCTTGTAAATATTGTACATACTAGATTTAAGCCGTTTTATTTTTTCTCTCAATCACCAGTCGCTCCCAGCTACGACTACATGTACCAATCCACACCGATTACGGCGGGCGGCGTTACACGCCTACCTTTGCACCTAGAACAACGAATACTCGACCTGCCAGTCGAGGCGGGCGGAATGTTCACGCCACAGAGCGTTATTATCATTATTGTGCACGGGGTACCGCCGAGCGACACTACGAACACCTCTTCAGGTGCGAGATTCACTCGGAAATTTTCGGCTTCCGTTCGGGAGTCTAGTCGGTTAGTCGAATACGCACGGCGCTCCGAGAAGTATTGTCTTCGCAATCATCGACGACGCGCGTGGCTCTAACGCTATACCGGAACTCGATAATCGTGAATTTACGACTCGCGGTTGCATTAAGCAGTTCCAACGACTCTCGATCCTGAATCGTTATTATATCTTTGCCATCAGCGTGATTTGTACAGTGAATAAAAAGTTGTTCTTCACACAAATTTCCCTCGTGTGTGCTATTCATTTCGTTGAGCGATTCGAACCCCCTTCGCTACAAGTTTCTCGTGCACAACCGATCAAACTATTTCGGTAATAATCTTAAGTGTGTTTCGCAAGCGAAGGCATGCACACTACCGAAAATTTGTTAAAGGGTTTTCTTTTTTTGCCAAACCTCTATCCACGTTAACGGAGAGTAAAACCAAATTTATTTGGGATGAAATATGCCAACACGCCTTTGAGGAATTAAAACGGAAATTATCTTCCTCCCCGGTACTATCATTCCCAAAGGGGGAAGGGGAATTTATTTTAGACACCGACGCGTCGAATACAGGAATCGGGGCGGTTTTATCGCAAAAACAAGATGGAGTAAAAAGAGTTATCGCTTACTTTAGTCGCGTGCTTAGTAAAGCAGAGAGGAATTATTGCGTGACTCGACGAGAGCTTCTGGCGATTGTTGATTCACTTAAATCATTTCACCATTATCTTTCAGGACGAAAATTTTTGATCCGCACGGATCATGTTTCCTTGAGATGGCTGATGTCTTTCAGAGACCTGGAGAGGCAGCTAGCTCGATGGCTGGAGAGACTCCAACAATACAAATTCGAAATCATTTACCGCAAAGGGCTTTCCCATAACAATGCTGATGGATTATCCAGGCGGCAATGCGAGACGATGGGTTGTGAATATTGTACAAGAATTGAAAAGAAAAGCACAATTGAGACGAAAAATATGGTTGCTCGAATAGAGTTTGTAGGAGCAAATTTGGAAACTTGGCGAAAAGAACAAAGGGAAGACCCTAGTATTTCTGAAATCTATCGCGCCAAGGAAACGGGGAAACGCCCTCCTCGTTCAGAAATAGCTTCTGCAGACGTGTCCGCTCGAATCTATTGGTCTTATTGGGACGCGCTAAGTTTAAAGAACGGGATCAATATAAAAGGTGGAAGGCCCCAAATTTGAAATCGAGTTTTCTGCAAATAGTGGTCCCTCGTAAACGAGTCAGAGGGATTTTGGAGCAGGCTCACGATTCTCCCTTTGGAGGGCATTTTGGAATCAATAAGACCCTTGATAAAATTAGGAAGCGATTCTTTTGGGCCACTTGCAAGCAGGATGTCGAAGACTGGTGCAGTTCATGTAAAGTTTGTATCTCCAAAAAGGGCCCCTCAGGTAAAGGGAAATCCCCTTTGCAAATTTACAATATCGGGGCCCCGTTTGAAAGAATTCAGATGGACATCCTCGGTCCTTTTCCTACAACTTTGTCTGGGAAGAAATATCTTCTTGTCATTGTGGATTGTTTCACCAAGTGGGTGAAAGCTTTTCCCTTGAGAAATATAAGAGCGAAAGCGGTGGCGGAAGTTTTTGTAAAAAAGATTGTCTCCAGGCATGGTATTCCCTCTGAGGTCCATACGGATCAGGGAAGGAATTTTGAATCAAAACTTTTTGCAGAGTTAATGGACTCTTTGGAATTAAAAAAACGAGAACCACCGCCTTACATCCTCAATCTGACGGACAAGTTGAGCGTCAGCACCAAATTCTAATAAATTATCTTGCTAAGTTTATTTTGGAGAATCAGAGGGATTGGGATCATTGGATTCCTATGTTTTTGCTAGCGTACAGATCTTCAAAACATGAAACCAGAGATGTCCAAAATATGTATCGATCGTTACTTGTTACTAGTTACAAATGTATCGTGTAAGTAAATTTCTATCGTTACTTCGTTACACATGTAGCGAGATGCCATTGTTACTTGATAAACTTGTAACGCGTAACGAAATTTATTTCGTTATTTGTTACAAATGTAACGAGTAACGAATTTTTTTTTGTTAATCAATACTTTTCTAATAAGTAACGAAATAAATTTTGTTAGTCGATACTTTTCTAACGAGTAACGAGAACAATTTAAGTACTCAATACATTTGTAACGCGTAACAAAATTGATTTTGTTACTCGTTAGAAAAGTATCGACTAACGAAATTTATCTCGTTACTCGTTACAAATATAACGAATAACGAAATAAATTTCGTTAGTCGATACTTTGCTAATGAGTAACGAAATCAATTTAAATACTCAATACATTTGTAACGCGTAACAAAATTGATTTCGTTACCCCCCAGTCAGAAATGATTAGTTGATTCGACGTTGAATCAATGTCGAAAACCGAATGTCGAATCAACGTCGTAATTCTGGTCGATTCGACGTCGAAAGCGTATAAAATATCACCGACTATTCAACTTATCGTTTCAACGTCGTTTCAACGTCGAAGGTTGAAATTCGATTGAAATATAGTATATTATATATTTTATATTTTTTTATATATGCAGTGTTTGTTTGGATAGGTCCTAAATATAAAATTTATATATATTATTTATACATATGTGATTGATCGCGCAATCCGAGTCGAAATTTTACTCCTTCTTTCGATCTCTTATTTTTCACATCTCAGGATTCTAAAGGATTTTGATAGGTTCTAATTGTATTGTACTTAGCTCCTACTTTGTGCCTGAAAACGGCAGAAAACGGACTGTTTCCCATTTTGAGGTTTAAAAGAGGAGTTATCGGTAAAACCCTCTTAAACCTCCTAAAACCCTCTAGATCCTACACTGATAGAAAAATGTACTAAATTTTAATTAATGTTTTCTCCAGTAGTCCTTATAAAGTATTTTTTTAATTCAGTTAATATTTTTCGAATGAAAAAAATATTCATCCAATTGAAACAAATTTTCTAAACCTAATAAAATATTTACTGAATTCAAAAGAATACTTTATTAGGACTATTGGAGAAAACATTTATTGTAGTACATTTTATTATCAATGTATTAATTTTTACTACTTTTTAAATCGTAATGAAACATGTTCCATATCACGTACATCATCGATAATTCATATAGTATAGGTTTTGGTAAATTTAGCAACGAGATACGGTTGTGACTTTGACTTATGTTGTCGTATCTCGTTGCTCTGTTAAATGCAATATTTATCTAGATTTATTATTTAGAATCTAAGATTTTTAATATTAAAAAAATATTACCGCAAAATATTTTATAACATTGTTAATTTTAATTTTAATTAATCACAATTTTAATTAATCAGATTCATATAGACATACATGTATCACAATTAATAATGTTATAAAATTTATATAATAAATCTTTTTTTTATTAACCATATTAAACACAACTTAAATAAAAACTCCACTGCAAGTCGCCGATAATATACATGACATAGAGCATGTTAATATGATAATGTGGTAAATAGCATATAAATAGCAGGGGGGAGAGTCAGAAAAAATCTAAGAGATCGCACACGTTTGTTTTTAAGGTACAAAGGAACATATATTTATTTGTTTACACTTTTTTATCTACTTGTTCATGTACTCTTGCATACTATCTAAATTAAACTCATATTATATCATAACGAAAAAAAAAAATTTTTTTAACCATTTAAAACAATTAATATATGTATTGTATCTTAATAAAAATTAAAATTAAAATTTAGTTTCAACAAAATTAAAATTAAAATTGAAAAATGTCTTGATACTGATTGTGAGTATCTTAAAATGAAATATCTTAATACTAATAAAACTTAAAATTAATACCTTAATACCAAATAACTAATCGCATATCACAAATGCCATTTAACAAATAATATTAATAATACGCCCAGTAAGCAAAAAACCATTATTACAATGTTATTGCAACGATATTCTAGAACTTGTAATGTTGTTAAATATGTAGTTCTTAATGTTGTATAGAACATCATTATGAACATACTTTGACCACGATTCCGAAATTTCAGTAATGTTGAAATGGGAGTGCCATAACGTTGCAAATAACATTGCGCTAAGGTTTTTCTATCATTCCTGTAATGTTTTTGAGATAAAAATTTAAACGTACTATCAACTTTATTACAATATTATATTAAGATTACCGTAATGTTAATTCTAACATTTATTTAAAGTTCTTATTGATGTTTTATTTCTATTACAGGCAACATGTTTTCAATAAATATGCAATAGTAATAAAATATCTCTATATTTATTGTCTAATTATTATTTAGATTGTTTTTTTATAAACCAGGCTTGGACAACTTTGAGCTCCAGAACCACGACACTTCTTTTCTATCCACGGAAAGTAGGGGAGTGTCGTGGCTCCGGAGCTCGAAGTTGCCCAGGCCTGTTATATACCAATCTGCATTAGGGAATAATTCACTAATTATCATAAAAAAGTTTTATTTATATAAAAATAATATATACCATATATTACAGTTTTCAGTTTATCACAATAATATCTTTGGTGAAGATCACTGATCCTAGCGTAAGGTTTTGGGATAAAACTCATCTTTCAAATAAAAAAATTTGTTACTATAATAATCACTCGCGCGGAGCCACGCAAGTAAGATAATATATTTATCACTTCCTGAAAAATAAAAGTAGAATTAAATTAGTGAAAAAGCTACTTATAAATTATAACGCGGCAAACTATAATAATTTTATTTTATAGAGAGTATATACCGAAATACATTACATTACCTTTTTAATGTTTTTTTTTTCTTACGGACGTTTGCGAATCTGAACCACTCCATTACAAAGTGTTGAAAATCTTTTTCTGTATTCCGAGGGAATATTGCTCTAAAAGCTTCTGAAATAAGAAAAATTCAATACAGTTTATTGTTAGATGAAAGAAATAAATAATGTTAATTTAACGGCAATTAAAACTTATGATAATTATTGAAATAACACAAAAGTTTCCGGAATAGTTTACATATATACTAAATCGATCAAAAATATTAGTTTATGGATATATATATATTTTTTTTATTTCGTAAGAATTTTTAACGTGTATGTGTGTCCTGCTTTTTAACGATGATTGCTACAAAAAATAAGGAGACAATTTTAATAAATTCTGAGACATAAAACATAGCATTTAATACTGCAAGTAATATATACATTTCTTAAAAAATTACTTACTTTTAATGCTCAGAATTGTGTGTGCGTATCTCCAATTTTATAATTATTTTTTTGGCCAGTTCATGAACACATGGAGGCTAAGTCATCAGAAAATGTAGCCCTCAAACTTCTTCTAATAAAATTCTTTTCATGTTTCCCTCCAATTAACATAACCTTGTTCACCTGAAAAATTTATACTTGTAATTCTATATAATGCAGTTTATTATTATAAATTGCAAGGAAAATAATTCAGAAGACTTTTAAAATATAATAACACATATTATAGGATATTATAGAACATATTAAAGGACATATATTATAGATATAAGTTTGTAAGATTAAGAGTCAGAGTAACCATTTTTGGTTTTGAACGCATTGAGTGCTCCTCCTCAAAATTCTATTTGATCGTTTTATACATAAAATATACAGTTGAATACATTATGGAGATTAATACAAATACATTTTGATTTTTGAAGGACATACCATATTTGAAAACTTTACCGACAAAATTCTACCTTCTTTTAGAAAGTTTACATATATCGTATTGGTTGCATAGAATTACAAATGCTTTTACATAATAAAAATAGGTGTAAATCAATTAGAGCATTTGCTCAATATATTACAAAAATGATTTAAAAATTTCAAAGTAAAGATCTCGAGCTGTCAGTGTAAATATTTATTTGTTACAAAAATTGTTTATATATTATCAGTATGTTTGCTCCGTTAAAGAAAATTGTAAAAAAATATTACTGTACCATTTCCATTAAATTTAAAAGCTTAAAAATATGCGTTAGTACTTATTTGATATGACGTTTGGATGATTTTGTCTGTATGTTACGCCACAATCAAAATAACTATAAACATAGTAGATACAGATAATGCGCAATTACTATTTTTGCCGAGATCTTTGCTATAGGCACTACATTAAAAATAATACCAAA